CTGCTTCTTGGTGGGCTCGACATTCGTGCTGCTTACCTCTGTGCTGTCAGGAATGGTGTGTGCAGGAAGTAGCTCAGGCCGCTGGTGATGGCTCCAGACAAAGGGATCCTGCTTGGAGCTTGCGGCTAGGGTCTCGAACCGGTTCTCTAGGAATGGGGTATCGGGCTTTGAGGGTTGAGACGATGTGGACCTGGTGAGCTGAGGTCCTCCCGACCTGACTACCCGCGGTGAGTTGTGGGTGGCAGATCGGCGAGCTCGGAGGCGGTGTCTCTGCTTCTTGGTGGGCTCGACATTCATGCTGCTTACCTCTTCTCTGCCTCCCACTATCACGTGGATGGTGCCCCGAACTGGTCCGGAGGCTTCTTCTGCGACTGTTCGGCCGGCCTACTGCTAGACTCGGGAGCGTCCTTACCGTGCTCCCCTTGCCGACCTGTTTTATTACTATCATTATTATTATTTTGTACAAAGTTCCTTAGATATCCGCGACGGATGAGCTCCTCTATCACATCGCGAAGGTTCTTACAATTTTCGGTACTGTGACCGTGATCTCTGTGAAAAGTACAGTACAGGTTCTTATTTCTCTCATTGGGATTCCCCCTCAAATGGGGTGGCCACTTCACATACGGGGCGTCCTTGATCCCCATCAGGATTTCGGCCAGCTTCACGTTCAGTGGGGTGTAATCAGTTTGGTCCGCTACAGGAGCTTGGAATGACTGACCCGACTTTGCCCCCCGAGCTGCATCTTTTTTCTTTCGGTTGTCCCCTTGAATGGGAGGCTCTCCTTCCCTTTTTCTCTTATCGGGCGCGCCTTCGCCCTTCTGGTTGATCACTTCCTCCGTGGCTATAAACTTGTCTGCGAGCTTAAGGAATTCGGTTATGGTCGTCGGTTGGTTGACGACCATGTGCCATTTGAACTCTTTATGCGTCATGCCTTTCTTGGCTGCTGCGAGGCGCACAGTGGGGTCCAGGTGAGGTATCTGCATGTACGCATCGTTGAACCGCTTGATATAGCCCCAAATGGACTCTCCCTCTCTCTACACTATGTTGAGGAGGCTTTCTTCAGTTCGCAGGCACCGCTTGCTAGTGACAAAGTGGGACGTGAAGGCTTGCGCGAACTGCGCCCAACTTCTTATTGATCCGGGTGCCAGGTTCCGATACCATGTGCGGGCTACTCCTCTGAAAGTGGTGGAGAAGGCCACGCACATGCACGACTCACTGGCTCTCGCCAGGTGCATCTGCGACTGGAAGGCATCTACGTGGTCATTTGGGTCAAACGACCCGTCATACTTATCAAGAGGGGGGAACTTGAAGTCTTTAGGCATTGGAACTGCTAGGAGTTCGGAAGACAGGGGGGATGGAACTGAAAGGAGGGGAGCCTTAGCTTTGCTTGAGCTTACCTCTTCTCTGGCTTTGAGCTCGGGCAAGTTGTGGGTGGCAGATCGGCGAGCTCGGAGGCGGTGTCTCTGCTTCTTGGTGGGCTCGACATTCGTGCTGCTTACCTCTGTGCTGTCAGGAATGGTGTGTGCAGGAAGTAGCTTAGGCCGCTGGTGATGACTGCAGACAAAGGGATCCTGCTTGGAGCTTGCGGCCAGGGTCTCGAACCGGTTCTCTAGGAACGGGGTATCAGGCTTTGAGGGTTGAGACGATGTGGACCAGTCTTTCTTGTTTGCCGCGGGAGGAGGCTTAGCTCTTATGAGGGTTTTGAGGGACTTCCCCTTGGTGAGAAAGACGCTCCTCCTGGCAGCGAGACCTAGCCCGCGGTGAGACTGGGTGCCGAGGAGGGAGTTGCGGCTGTTGAAGCTGAGGTTGAGGCAGCTAAAGGAATTGCTGCTAATACTGGTACTGGGAGACGTGGTGCAACACTTGCTGCTGATAAAGCTAGTGTTGCTGGAGTTGCTGCACTTGGGCTTGTATGGCCCGCATGCACTGCATCAAATCGTCGAGCTGGCTCTGGCTGGTCGCCAGAGGGATGACAATTGGTTCAGCCAAGGTCATTTCGACCGAGGTAGGCAGGGGAACACCCACAGGCGCCGTTGCTCGCGACGTGCTCAGGTTGGGGACTCCGTCCACCGAAAGGGGAATGGTGAACTGCCCAATGCAGACCGTGGGAACCTGGGTTGTTCCCTGGAGTTACTCATCTCCATGCTTCGTCCAATGTTGCTTGAGGAAGCCATGAGTGTCGATTTTTTCAAAGAAGGAAGAACTATGAAGGTTTAGAGGAAGGCTTTTAAAAGCGTATTCCCATAGACGGCGCCAAATGATGGTGCGCAATCCGGTCACTCCTAGATGGCACTTACATGGCTCCTGGAAGATACCTGAGATGGAGAAGAAGAAGAATCCCCGGGGGCTTGCCCGATGGGAACACTCCGATGCTTAAGTTAGTATTCAGTAGGAGAAGCAAGGAGAAGATGAAGGCTAAGAGTGCAGGTAGCACGAGAGTAGAAGATGATAATGATCATACCTGTCCTCCTTGATACTAAGCTCCTTATAACAGAAATCCGTTGCCTCTGGCCCCTTGGCTTCTGACAGGGCGGGTATAACCGCCACTGTCATCCTGCCGTAGCCGTTACTGGCTGGGCTAAGGTGGCACGCGCAAGGCCGTCACCGCAGGGTACGTGCTTGTCAGGTGTAAGGCACCCTTTGAAGGTGGCAGACACGACGCTGTCTAACGAGGGATATGGCTGTTGTTCCCAGATTTGTCGGGTACGGTGGTTGGCGGGAGGTCTTCTTGCGATGTGCCGGACTACCCTTCCGTGAGCTACCCTGTGCCTGGCTATCTTTTAAAAGGCAAGCTGCCTGTGGCAAGCTAAGCCGAGCTGTTTGGCCCGAGGTGTCATTACCTCGTGGTATTTATAGGCAGATTGATGTGTTCCTGTCTGGGTGGTCCGAGATCCACTGGGAGGAGCTCGGGTATTAGGAAAGGTCAGGGGGACCCCGAGCTCGGAGGTGGCTCAGGGTGCCTTAGCCCCCGGGGTGGCGGTGCAGGCCAGGCAGCTCCCGGTGAGTATATTCCGTCGAGTCGCCGGGCTAAACTTGGTGGGACCTTCCCTCCGAGTTGTAGTTGCGCCTGCTGTGTTGTCACGCTGAGTCATCGTTTGAGCAATGTCACACACACATGTACCGATGCTACGAGATCGAGCTAAATCGTCCTCCATCATACCCTAAATTGATTTTGATTTAAATGAAATTCAGCCCAAAACCAGTCTATGGACACCCTTAATTGCATCCTCAATTTAGGGAACACAAACTCCATTTAAAAATAGTGTTGAAGGCAATTCTTCTAAGTTTTATGGGGATTTATTGCTCTAACAAGGGACTTGATCTTAACACGTGTGATGATTTTATGAGAAGTTATAATTTATTTCGTTTATAGCTATTGAATATTTTTCTTTTGTTACATATATTGTTTTAATATGGTTTCACAAAAATATTTTTTTTAATATGATTTACATGTATTGTAGAAAATTTGGCACATACTTAATATTATATAACCTTCATGCTAACTGAATGTGTTGAGTACAAATTATTTTTATTGATAGTGGGAAAATAGAATAAAAATTTAAAAATTTTCTTGAAAGGGAGCTCTTTTATATTTAGGGGCTAGACCGGGAATTCAATGGTTTAGGCTAATGCAAGATGCCATAAATAAATAATAAAAATCTAAAAATAGATAGAAATACTAAAAACTATAAAAATAACATAAAGAGTTTTGTAGAAAAGTTGGGAAACACGCATAATGTTATACATTCATCATAAAAATAAATGTCATAAGAAAGAATTATTTTATTGGTTGTGGAAATGGAATAAAAAATTTAAAATTGACATAAATAAAACAATTTTCTGTGTTAGATAAAATGGATCAGATGTAATAATTAAATAATACAAATTTAAAATTAGATAAAAATATAAAAAAATTATAAAAAATAATATTTTTTTTATAAAAAAATTGAACATATCTCTAATATTACTATTATTTGAAATTTGTATATACATCAACTGTGCACACTTACTATTTCTATGTCCAAAAGAGTAAATTTAATATTATCAAAAGGTAAATATTTTTATCAACCGTTTTGTTAAGTTTTATTATCATAAGTTGTTATAGATAAATAAAATCGGGTCTAATTGAGCCATATCCAATTATGAATCTATCATACGTAGACTGTTCATGGGCTGGGTAGCCCGACGGCCCGGCCAGGCCTGCACTTGGCTTGGACATGTAGTTAGGCCCGTGGGCCTTACCTCGGGCCCAAAACACCAAGCCTGATTGTGTTTTGGGCCGGGCCTGGGATTTGTCAAAAAACTCAGCTCGACTCGACTAATTTATATTATATAAAAATATATAATATTTATTATGATATATATATTAATATTTTTTATTTTTTTTTTTCTTTATAATCTCTTTCTCTCTCTCTGTTCAGTCGCTTTAGCAATAGCAGCGATATAAACTTTAGACTTTGGCCTCGAGCCCAGGCCCGAGCTTTGGGCTTTTTATGAGGGCTGAGCTCAGGCCCAAGTTGTAGGCCTGATGATCGGGCCTTAAAAAAAACCTGTTAATTAAGAGTGAAAACCTGGCCCGAGCCCAACCCAGCCCATTAACAGATCTAATCATTGGGAACGATTAATAATTAATCTGGGTTATAAACCTTGTCCCGAACTAGACTCGACCCATTGACATATTTTGCTGTAAACCCGAGTTGAAGAATTTGAATTACAGGCTCTGGGTCACTGGGTCAGGCTAGGGTTTGGGCAAATTGATTAGTTGACAAACTCCTAACCCAACCCGGCTCAAGTTGCACTCCTACACTCGTGGTCATTCCAGTAATTTGGATTTTTTCTTCTAATCGAACGGTCCTAGCTCTCTGCAAGCATCCATCATTTTGGAACTTGGGACACGATCACTCACAGTTCTCTCGTCTGCTCGTTTTCCTCCTTAACCCAAGTGCAGGCCATTTTCGTAATTTTGACATCTTGTCTAGGATACATATAACATCTATCAAAACCCTAGATTTCTGTCTCTAACCACCCTTCTCTTCACCCTCTCTTCCCCTTCCCCTCTCATTTCCCTAAACCCTAGTCCATCAATCCCATCCACTGCTCCTCTCAATGGCTGTTGCTGCAGCTCGACCTCTGGTCACGATCCAGCAGCTGGATGGCGACATGGCCACCGACGGCGGGAACTCCATTCCCCTCCCCGACGTCATGAAGGCGTCAATCCGCCCAGACATCGTTAACTTTGTTCACGCCAACATCTCCAAAAACAGCCGCCAGCCCTACGCCGTCAGCAAGCGCGCCGGTCACCAGACCTCGGCCGAGTCATGGGGTACCGGTCGTGCCGTTTCCCGTATCCCTCGTGTCCCTGGTGGTGGTACTCACCGTGCCGGTCAGGGTGCCTTCGGTAACATGTGTCGCGGTGGGCGTATGTTCGCTCCCACCAAAATCTGGCGCCGCTGGCACCGAAAGATCAATGTCAACCAGAAGCGATATGCTGTTGTCTCTGCTATTGCCGCATCTGCAGTGCCCTCTCTTGTGCTGGCTCGTGGCCATCGCATTGAAAACGTTCCAGAGATCCCTCTGGTCGTTGGTGACTCTGCCGAGGGGGTTGAAAAAACATCCGCGGCTATCAAGATGTTGAAGCAGATCGGTGCTTATCCCGACGCTGAGAAGGCAAAGGATAGCCATGCGATCCGGCCTGGAAAGGGTAAGATGAGGAACCGCCGGTACATTTCTCGCAAGGGACCTCTCATTGTTTATGGCACGGAGGGTTCCAAGGTCGTGAAGGCCTTCCGTAACATTCCTGGTGTCGAAGTCGCCAATGTTGAGAGGCTTAACCTACTTAAGCTTGCTCCTGGTGGGCATCTTGGTCGGTTCATCATCTGGACAAAGTCTGCTTTCGAGAAGTTGGATTCTGTTTATGGATCGTTCGAGAAGGCATCGGAGAAGAAGAAGGGGTATGTGCTGCCTAGATCGAAGATGTTTAATGCTGACTTGTCGAGGATCATAAACTCTGATGAAGTTCAATCTGTTGTGAGTCCGATCAAGAAGGAGGTTAAGAGGGCGCCGCTCAAGAAGAACCCGTTGAAGAACCTCAATACCCTCCTGAAGCTCAATCCATACGCGAAAACCGCAAGGAGAATGGCTCTTCTGGCCGAGGCCCAGCGCGTGAAGGCAAAGAAAGAGAAGCTCGACAAGAAGAGGAAACAGATACCCAAGGTACTTGTTTTGGTACACTTTCCTCTTCGTTTTGTTTCTAGCGTTTCAATGCTGTTTATTGTTTCTTTATGTGCAATTCTGCTGATTTTACGTGCCCAAAATAATTTTTTATCCTGATAATATATCATTCGCGGAAAGACAAATAATCTATATATGGTCTCTTTTTTGGAAAGTTCATTCTGTCGGGATTATCAATATCTGGTTTGTGTGTAATTTTCTATACATTGCTTTAATTTGTACAAGCTATATACACCGCTATTTTTCATGGACGTGGAGCTTCAGATATATCTTCGTTTTGTTGAATATAAATGGATAAATGATTATTTCCCGCGAGAATCATGTAATATTATAATTTAATTCTACAGGGAGGGACACCAAGTAAAATGCTTATGAGTATGCAATTAATTAAATTGTGTTGTGGCAATAAAATTCAAATGATAAACATTAACCAACAACGATTACATTTATACTAAGTAGATGAATTGGAAGATAGACTTGCAATTTAGATTACAACTTCCATATTGTTCTTTTCTATGATACCAAACACATCCTACATACTGATTTATATTTGACTATTATGGTGTTAGACAATGACTAAAATTGTTTTTTTATACAAGTTTTGATTTGTAGCTGCTTGTTGGTGTCTGATACATTTGCCAAATACTTGTATACTCGCTATTATGTTATAATAGACAAGGAAAGAATGCATCATTGACAGTGTGTGACATGATTTTACAATAAGACTCCATGCATTTGATTCTCAAGGAAATAATGCCTTTTTCTCCTTTCATGGGTTCGTTAAGGCATCGTTTTCCTTTTGTAAACTAAAGTTCTCAACCATATATGTGGTTTAAAGTTTTTATCAGCAGGCAGCTTTTAAGGAAATGAGAGTTAACTTTTGTAGTTTGGTGACTCATCCAAAAGGTTCAACACATTGTCTCTATGGAGGTAAACTATTCCAAAAACATGTGCGACATGAACAATCCACAAGACTTTGATCCACCATTTGGACACCCATTTTTTTGTTAATTTTTTCTGTTGCCTATAGTATGCTTGTTTGCCTTTTTGTGTCCCTTTGTATGCTTTCCTCTCTCTGAAAGCTTTATTTTCTATCAGGCTTGAACATTGTTAAATAAAAAGGCAAATTTGTTCCTCACAATAAAACGTTGATGTGTTGCATCAAATCCTATTCCACTTAAAGTTAACTTGCTGAGATGGCAAGGAACTTGAAATGAGAAAAAAAGGAAGAATGCAATAAAAGAGAGAAAGAAGATAAATTTAAGTAATCTCAACAAAAAATTCAATCGGGAGTACTGCTTTCATTTGAAACCAAAGCGTTTGTTTCAACAACCAGTTGTTTAAGTTGCTTAACACCTATACTAATTTAATGAAAACAGACTTCTGATAAAAATCATGAAACCATCCTAATGAATGAAAGTGTGTTTTTATTACCTATTGTTTTAGTTGTTTAGCATCGATATAATAGAACAAAAGTATTATCCTGATAAAAAATATAAATAATGCAAATTGATAAAATAATTACAAATAAAGAAAATACGCAGATATTGCCAATTTTTACATTGGAATGTATCATTGTAGCTTGATGATAATATAACTTTCCTCTTTTCTTGGTATTTATGAGCCATGAAGACATGGAAACTGCAACTTTGATACAAATTTTGAGAAAGAAAGAACATAGAATATGTATTTAAACTATTGGAAGTAAACAAATGTGTAAGTAGCAATGTCTGGAAATATCCTATCCTAGCATTCTTTGAATACTCTGAAAAAATTGCAAGTCTGGAAGGCCCTAACAAGAGACTTCATTGAGTCCTCTTAAAAGCATTGGTAAGTCTGGCATGAGAAGCTGATTGCATGGTGTCACTATAGTTGCATGGTATTAAAGTGAGACAGTATAGTTTCTTCTGAGCTATGTTTCATTGATTTTCTTTTCTATCTGCATTCTTATTTCAAATCATCTGCCATCAGTGCCTGTTGGCTCCATGTTATTTGTGCATAGGTCATAAACTTATAGGTAGTATTTCAATCATTCAAACCCATCTTCTACCTACCCTTTATTTCTTGTATCAAAACATTTCCTGAAATGTATTGCTTCCTGAAATGTTAATCAACGTTTTAGATTATATAAGCTTTTGAGCCAGAAGTACTGGGCTCCTTGTATCGGTTATTCCTCTGACATCATCATTTTATGTAGTAAATGTCTCTATTTTCTTCTGTAAGTATTGTTCAAAATGGCATAGCTTTTGGTCTTTTGCTTTCTGCTATGTATCTAGATTTTTTTTCTCATTCTCTTCATGGATGGTATATTTTATGAGCATCTGCTGCATGCATCAACTAGGATCACAAGTTTTATTGCCATGTTTGGTTTGCTTACCCAAGATGATATTAGTTTTGCTTGATTCATCTTCTGTGTTCTTGAACTGTGCTGATTCACTTGAACCTATCCCAGATGCATTGTTAATTAATTAACCAGAGTTGTCAAATGTTTAACCCGTATTTCATCAAAATCCTATTATAAGTGGCTTAATACTTTGCTGAAATATTTTGTTGCTGGTATTATATTCATTTTCAGTTTTTTCCTTCTTTTTGTGTTTAAAACTTGATTACATAGCATCCTTTTGTCCTGCATCATAAATGTTGCCCACTAGTCTGGTTGTATTTGATTAATGGTCAAATTTATAGTATGTTGGTTAACGCATTGCTTGTCGTGCCGAAGGTTATGAAGATGTAATATTCCTGAAACAAGATAAATCTGACTTGTAAAATACTAGTGCATGAACTTGTTAATTTGTTCTCACGGTTCTCTATTTGATATGCATAGTAAATCTGACTTGTAAAATACTAGTGCATGAACTTGTTAATTTGTTCTGACGGTTCTCTATTTGATATGCATAGTAAAATCTTTGCCGTCTGTGGTGGTTTTTTTTTTTAATCATTAGTTTTTGCCTTGTGTATCTGTTAGGAGGAGGCTGCTGCAATAAAGGCCGCAGGCAAGGCATGGTATCAGACGATGATTTCAGACAGTGATTATACCGAGTTCGAAAACTTTTCAAAGTGGTTGGGGGTTACTCAGTAATTATTCTAGGCTTTCGGTTTTGGAATTTTGTTAGAAGGCTGTTATGTTATTTGGTTCCGGATTTGCTACCTTTAATTCCATACTTTTTCATTTCTTCTTTTCGAGTCAGGATGATGACCCTAAGGGGTGGGGGGCTGAGGTCTGAAATAAGAGTTCGATTTTTGCTAAATATAGCCTTGTCTCCTCATCATGGTCCCTTTTTTCGGTTTCAGTAATTTGGGACAGATTAGAATATGTAGTGCGAGTGAGTAAAAGCTAGTTTATTATCTGTTTTTCTTTTCAAATTCATATGGTAGAGATTCACTGAATCCTTAAGTCTCGATTACAGGGAAGATATTATGTATGTTTGGTTACAGCCTTACAGCTCTTGATATTTTGAAGCGAACGTGGTTCATTAAGAGCCAAAAGATCGAATTCAACCATTCATTGCATAGTTGCAATCTTGCTATCTATCAATGCAACCAAACAAAAGTTTCTGATCAAATATCCCTTTGATCCATGGACTGTTCAAATCCCTGATATTTCTCATGTTACCAGCACTGCTACATCTTATTGTTTAGATCATGTATGATCTCGGTTCTCCTGCAGTGAGTCAGGGCTCTCATAAAATCACTTGACAGTTAACCCATTTACCCATCAACTAATATTTATAGTGCGGGTCCGTGTTGTTTCATGCGTACATCATTTAGTGTAGAATTTGTATACATATTTACAGGTCGGTCATGTGTAGTTTCCTATACTGAGTCTAAGCATATCATATCACTATATGAGAAGAATAATGGCTCTATACACTCCAAGTGTCCAAGGTTTTTCTACTCATAATTTAGCAGAGTCGTTTGAGGTGGTAGCTAGATAAATCGTTTCCTTCGTTGCTGCACGCATTTGCTTTTTCTTCATTTCAAGTTGTGCCAACCGAAAGAAATTCACGTAACATCTGCAACATCCCTGTTCAATCTTTTCAATGAAATTGCATGCCAAACGAATCGTATCAATCCTTCCATTCTAAACTCCCAAGTCCAACCATCCAAAAGTCTCATGCAAGTTGGGTTTTTTGTGATAATAATTCTGCCATCCACTGCCTAAAATACAATAATTGGGTTGCGGGTGGAATCCCCTTATTTCTATTGAGGAAATAGGGTTCTGAATGTTTTGATGTTGGCAAGAGGGTTGTTAAAGTGTTTTAGCAGTCTGCAAATCATTTGATGGACTATGGAACAATGGTTGCATGTTTTTTTCAACAATATCTGTAAGAATTAGCAAATACGGTAGTAGAATCAACACCAAGAATTCCTCTAGGAAATTGGATCAGTTTATTGATTTAAACTTTATGAATACTGCATTCATAGGACTATACAACCAGCCCTAATTAAGACTCAATTAGTTACAGCTCTTTCTTCTGTGGTAGGAAATAAGCTATTTACAAATCAAATGTCCCAAGGCGCTACCTCAGTCTCAATGTTGATGTGAATCTCTTCTGTGGTGCAATACACTGGTAAGTCCCAAGGTTCAAAGTATCGATATGGATCAGCCAATACGTATCATATTGGGGGCTTCATGATACACCCTTGCAGAGGGTGTTTCGAGGTTCTCAGCCGGTTTAAACTGAATCCTCTGAACTAGATTAAAAAGACTAAAAAATAAAATATAACTATTGATACTGCCTGATACGCCACTATTGGCATATTGAGCGTATCGATATTTTGATCCTTGGTAGGTGCTGGTGGTGGTGAGGGCTACCATCTTTTCTTTGGTGGTGTGGGGGAATTGAAAATCTAATACACTTTGTTTTTAACCTTTGGCTTCTATGCCATCAATTTAACTGTTCTTTCAATTTCTTTAAGACTTAAAGATCTAGGAATGACAGTACTGGTTACAACATTGGAATGAGCAAAATTAGCTCACCAATCTGACGCAATGTTGCCGTCTTGATGACACTCCACTTTGCCCTCTAGACTCTCGAACAGCAACCTACAATCCTCAATGATCAATTTCAATCTCCACGGTGGTTCAACCTGTTTCTTTAGACAGTTAATCACAAGTTTTGAATCACCCTCAATAGTGATGTTATTGCTTGATAAGTTGAGGGCTACATTATGGGCTTCCCAAAGGGCCCAAGCTTCAGCCACATTAATAGTGGTAACACCAATTCTGTAAGCTTTAAGGTCAAGAATTTGACCCACATAATTTCTAGTTATGGGGCTGATTTTTCATTCTAAAAAGAATATGGCCCACACAAATCTTGATCCTACCATCAATCCTGTGGACAATGATCCTACCACTAATCTTGATCTTCGAGTTAGCAATGCGATTGATCATCATGATAGAAAAATTTTCCATGTTTCTTATACTACGTGGGGTCTATTTTAGCCAAAATAGTTTCCATCCTTTTTTTAAATTACTTTTCCATTGACATTCTTTTTGGCTGAAGTTTTAATTTCTTCAATATCCTCATGTTAACTACAGAGCTTTTTGTGAATTCCTTTATAGGGTGTGATCTTATAGTTGGGTTTTGTATATTTCTTCTCAAAAGCCTTTCTACATATATTTATTATGTGGAGTGCAAACAAGAATGAAAGCATGAAGGACCTTCTGGGACTGGAGTATCATCTTGGTGTTGCTTTATGGATCCACTGGTCTCATGTTGTGGTCGTTTGTCTTGTGCTTGAAGTTTTTCACTCAGGTTGTTAATGTCTATGTTAAAATTTAATTTAATGGTTATAATCTTTGATGGACCTTGGAGCAAGCTCTTGCAACTTGAAAGTTGTTCAGAAATTGAGTTTCTCTAGTCTAATTGCAGCTTATGCAAGTACAAGTGTACAATCGATCTTCCCAAATTGTTATAAAATTATAGTTATTCCAACAAGTGTGCAACTAGTCGCATCTGTTTTGTATAAATCCATCAATGTTCTTTAAAAGATTCAGGAAATTTTCTTCATCATTTCAAGATGAAAAGCTTAGAAGATGCATTTGAAGTTTATAGAAGTCATAAAATTACGGAGATGAGATTAGTTGGACACTTGGACCAACTGCAAATTTTCCAATACCGATTCCTACATTTTGTTATATTGTTACTTCATCAGGCATTTCATTTGTTAAGTGATGATGGAATAGAAATACTAATAGATGGATGAATACAATTCAGTGTCAAGCTTTCTTAGGCTCCGTTTGGAACGAGTACAAATGCAAATATGTAGAATGCAAAACCTTGTATTTAGTATTATTTTGCACTATACATATTTATATTTGTATTCTTTTCAAACCAAGCCTTACAGATACTGATCATATTTGTTTTAGTTCTGAAAGTCTGAAGTAGACTTATTCGTGAGTCAGACTTGGGCTTAACTTTTGCCAAAATTGAATGGGCCCAACTCAAAGCCCAAACCGAAACTTAGGCCCGTGAAAAGTCTACTTTCAAGGAGTCTTCTTCTGGATGGTTTAGTTGTTATAAATGGAATAGCCTACGGCAGGGAAAGTCTGAATCTGGTCCTAACACAGGACCCGAGTCCCAACAGTCATTGCAGCTCTACATCAGGGACAACTCATCATGAAGGAGAAGGGAGATGTTCCCAGTGTATGGCTGCAATGGCTGTTGGGACCAGATTTAAACTCAGGCAGTACGGCTCGCAATCCTGGACCGGATCACCTACCAATAAAACACGTTCCAACCCTCTACTAACATCATATCACACCATACATCTCTTACATGGCAGGTCCCACTTTTATGGTGGGTTTCAGTCTCAAGTTAAGACAAGGTTTTTAAAACCGCACCGGATAACAAACCGTTTAGGGGTCCGGTTCTCAGGTCGAATGGTGCGACCGTTCGAATCGAACGGACGACCTATTCTGACAAAAAATAAAAAATAAAAAGGGCCAAAAACCGTTGGATAATTTGAACAGATCAACTGCCTGGGTCAGTAGTTTGCTGACCAATTCAATGGTTTTTGGTCATAAGACGATTCTGGGGTAAAATGGAACTGGTGACGGTTCCTGATTATTCTTGTCCGACCATCCAGTTCAATCCGATTTTGAAAACCATGAGTTGTTTGGTGTGAGATGATGCTGGTAGAGGTTTGAAACGTGTTTCATTGGCAGAAGATCCCAATAGGAGACATTCCGTGCAAAAAAAAAGTAGCCCTATTGGAGATTATTACAATTCACCGATTTTCAAGTTTCCCTGTAATTAGGAGTGTCAATTAGATTGGACACTTTTATTGGATTGGACATGTAATTAGGAGTGTCAGAAGATCCCAATGGTTGCACCCTTATTGAATTGGATTTGGACAGGGTCCAACCCAAAACCGGTCCATTGACACTCCTAATCATGGATCCATTGATGACTTCACATTGCAACAAAATCATTGGCTACAACAAAGCAATTATTACACTTACTCTCTCGTCATCATGTAGGCAATTTGCACAGTTTTTGGTACTAGAAACAATGGAATAAACCAAATCATCCATTTTCAACTAGTTAATGTTGGTAATTGGAGTCATGGAAACTTGGAGGAGAAACGCTCTAAGATGTGTCAGAAGACATTATCTTTAGAACGTTATTTGTCTCTACTTAGTTTTGTTGAGTTTGTTGTTGGATTACAAGCAAATTCGTTCCCATGATACAACAAAGCCTAAAGCAAGAATATGCAACCAACAAAGATGAAGAGTCTCCAAAAAACCCTTCTATGAAACAGTAACAGAAGTCATGGAAAAGAGAAAGGTGCTGGTTCAAAAAAGACTTTTTGAACAATCACAACAAAAATTGTGACTGTTCAAAGGTAGTCAACAATTAATAAATGTTAGCTTTGAATAGTGCATCTTGACCACACTCGATTGGATCGTGACCATTGAAATCATTAACGGTCAACCTTACATCAAAAGCCAAAGTTGCCTTATGTGAGTCACAAAAGTGCAAGCAAAATGTGTCTATATTTCTAAGTAGTGTAAATAAACTCCTATTTAAAAACTTAAAACAAGTTTATTAATTTTCCAATGTGGGATAAGTTAAAAACTGATTTAATAAGAAAAAAAGCTATTTTTCAAGACATGTATGCATATGTATTTTTCATATAATTGATCAATCAAACCCCATTGAATTTATTCTCTACTGAGATTAAAATTGAACAGAATGTATGATTTCATTATTCATTCATCTTATATACTATGATCGATTACCTCTGTGGTTGCAGAAGGTGCAAAAGTGAAAAAGTTCCTTGAAACCTGCCACTTCACACAAAAATGATAGCATACAACTAGAAATCTAGAACCCAACATTAGGGGTGAGCAAACGGTTTGTTCGGTTTAAAATCGAACCGAACAATCTGAATTTTCAAAAACTGAACTATGAAATGTGGCAACCGA